GCGCCTCGGGGATGGGGTATTTAAGGGGGGGGGGAAGCACCAGGAGGAATTGCAGCCAGAGAGCGGGTTGAGAATATGTGAGAGGAACAGCCATGCAGACACCAAGGTCAGTGAAGAAGGAGGAGGAGGAGGAGGTGCTTCAGGCGCAGGAGCAGAGATTCCCCTGCGGCCCCTGGAGAACCCCATGGCAGAGCAGGTGGATGCCTAAGGGAGACTGTGACCCTGTGGGAAGCCTGCGCTGCAGCAAGCTCCTGCAGGACCTGTGGCCCTGTGGAGAGAGGAGCCCACGCTGGAGCGGGTTTGCTGGCAGGACTTGTGATCCCGTGGGGGACCCACGCTGGAGCAGTTTGTGAAGAACTGCAGCCCGTGGGAAGGACTCACATTGGAGAAGTTGGTGGAGGACTGTCTCCTGTGGGAGGGACCGCACGCTGGAGCAAAGGAAGAGTGTGAGGACTCCTCCCCCTGAGAAGGAAGCAGTGGCAGAGACACCGTGTGATCAACTGACCGCAACCCCCATTCCCTGTCCCTCTGTGCTGCTGGTGGGGAGAGGGGAGAGAATTCAGGAGTGAAGTTAAGCCCAGGAAGAAGGGAGGGATGGGGGGAAGGGGTTTTTAAGATTAGGGTTTTTTTTCTCATTACCCTATTCTGATTTGGTTGGTAATTAATTAATTTTCCTGAGTTGAGTCTGTTTTGCCCATTGTGTTAATTGGTGAGTGATCTCTCCCTGTCCTTATGTCTACTCACGAGCCTTTTGTTATATTTTCTCTCCCTTTTCTAGCTGAGGAGTGGAGTCATTGAGCAGCTTTGGTGGGTACCTGGTGTCCAGCCAGGGTCAACCCACCACGTTAATATAAGTATGTCTTAGAAGAAATAAATCCTGACAAAATGAGTAAGTCTGTGATGGCAAGGATTCTGTGCGATACTGTTGCTGAGAATGACAGAGAAATAGGTGTTTTTCTCCAATGGCTGTGTTTTGTTTTGTGCCTTTTTTTTTTTTCCCAGTAGGTGCTTCTACCCAGGCTGTATTTGCTGGGTCAGCAAACAGGAACTCCCTGAAAATCAGGGATATCTGCTAGTCTCATTTCTTTATTTTTTTTATCATGTGTGTGATAGGAATCAACCTACTTCTCCTTTTAACATCATCATTGGAATCTTTACAAATGAAACAAGGATGCTGATGAAAAGCAGCGGTGGGCTGTTCAAGATAATCCTCTTCCTGCTGCTGTTGAGTAATTTTTCACCTTTCCTCCTAAACCAGTTTATTTCCCTCTCTACAACGTCTGGACCAACTCTAACCCTGTGAGAGGGGATGTGGTATTTTTGTCCGGTATCAGAGAGTAAATGAAAATCCGTGCTGCTGGTATGTGCTGCTGTGGCGCTTTTTTTCTGCAGTCACTAGTTATCTCTGATTTAGGTAGATAAGGCTTAACTGCTTAGCTTGTCTGGTTCCTCATTTGTCAGAAACACTAGGGCATGGAAGCCTCAGCTTGGGTCAAAAGGACTAGAAGGTGCTGTTCTGCACTTTGAGAGGAAACACTGCTGGTTATTTTATCTAGTACAGTTTGGGTGTTTGGTTTTTTTCTTTTTGCAGGAGCTGGCAGAATAATCGTATCTTGTGATTTTAATCCGAGTATTGGGAGTCCTGTGCACTTGCTCTCTCTCCTCTTGTATCAGCACCTATTTTTCTGAAGCGTAAATCTCAGTTTTTAAATATTAACATTCTTGCTTTCAGAAGAAGGATTGTTATGGATAGAAAATGGAATTTTGGAGGTGCTGTCAGTACTTTCTTGATCATTTTAATTACCAGCAAAACCAAGATTGCCTGCTTTTGTCTCAGATAAATGCTGCTGGTTTTCTCTGCCCTGAAATGAAGAAAACAGGCTTTAATTGGTCCTTGATTTGCACCATTTAATGAAAATGAGGGTCACCTTTCAGGGTTGTGGGTTTTGGGGTTTTTTTCTTTGCTCTTGTGTAAAGATTTCCCCATCAGTATGGATTTCAGTGCGAGGCAGACTTCCTACAGAAAAAGGGCTAGCCCGCTCCCTTGTCTGGGGTGATGGATCTGCGTATAGCTGTCTTGCTTTCTGTGTGCTTTACTCGAGGTGTAAAGGGAACAAGAAGAGTTCTTGGACTGCTGGCTTCGGTTCACTAAATGCATTGGAGGACAGACGAACAGAATAGATGCCAAGGATGGAATAATTCTGTAAGAGAGTTGATTAAGCGTGCTAACAGATAATGAGACAGGTCTTGACCCAGAGTGTGTGGTACAGGCCCTTCACACGGGCAGTTCCTCGTGCCACGTTCAGAGGTTGGCTGCATTCAGGAGGAGCTTGAGACCTGTGTGTATGCTTATGGTGGCATGTATATGTAAATGCAGACACCCTTGCTCAAAGAAGTGAAGTGTTCCAACTCTGGAAGAAAGTGGTGAGATCAGAGGCTGATTTGTGTTCCTCTGTATTTTGTGGTCTGACCATGGGAGATGTTTCCTGATACTGGTTCAGTGTTGGAGATAGGGATGACGCAGATACACAGTGAGATCAAAAGATAGGGGGGAAAAAAAAGGGATGTCCTTGTGTGTCTGTGCGCATGAGGGAAATGGCACCCATCTCTAACACTTGTACGTGCCAGTGAAAGTGAAGACAAGGCATATCAACGGAAAAGGAGAAACAAAAGAGGAGGAATCCCATCAGACTGAGCTTGACACTGCGTGGGAGCAAGCTCCCAGGACTCCAGCGTGAACTCTCCTCCTGTGCTTACGAGAAGCCCATAAAGGTTCTGTCCCTCCAATCCGAGGTGGTAAAACTGCATTTGTCCTTCGAACCTGTACCTGTGACAAAGTTTCTTCTTCACAGGCTTGGGCTTGTTTTCCTGCCAACACTGTGAAACCACTAGGAACGCAGGACCGGCAGAAAGCTGCACAGAGCAATAAAGTGGTTAGTCTAGGTAGCAGCTGCTTCTTATTTTTTCCTCAAAGTGACATTTTCCCTGTCATCTTTCCCCCCACCCCAAACAACTCTGTGAAGGGGCTGGTCAATGAAGCTGTGAAGACAGGTTTTATTATTGTGGCTGTAAAGATGGCTCCCGTTGGTGTGAGAGGAGAGATCGCTGAAAACAGGAGAATAGTCAATCCCATCTCCTTAATGTAATACAAAAGCAGCATATAGCAGACACACAAAATTGCCTTGTTGTGTAAAGGGGATAGTTCACCACTTAGAAGAGGAGTAATATGTTGTGGGTACGAGTGATAGCGGAGTCTTGGATGAGCCAAGAGGCCTTTCTAACCTGTTGTCATGCCAGGAACTGCGTGTGGTAGTCTGGTTTTCCTTCTGGATTGTGTGCTGGCCGGCTGGTCCTTTCCTCATGGAAGGTCTGTTGCAGTCTTTTTGCTCTGGTGATAATGAATGCCTCCTCTCCCCTCATCTAAAATGCTCTGAAGTGTGTTTTGAAAAAGGTGTTTGGGGTTTTTTTGTTTGGTTGGTTTTTGGGGTTGTTTTTTCCTGTTCTTTGCTGCTTAACACTTGGCACCGAGTTACGCACCAGCTCGCAGTCTTGTTT